TTTTTTTTTTTTTTTTTTTTTTTTTTTTATTAGGCCATTTTGATGTGTAGTGTTTGGATTACTAAGCCTCATTTATATCTGGGTATATATGATTTTTTACCATCCTACCGTGATTTTTCAAACTTATTTCTCAAGCTACCACTGTTTATATAAAAGCATGGTTTCACTCACGCTTTGCAATGTAAAAGCATGTTTTGGAATATGTACAAACATTTGAAAATCGTTGTACCACAATAATTGATTCTAGGGGCAGGGTGTGTGTGTGTATAATTGTGAGTATGTCCTCATAATTGGAACTTTGGGTGGGCAACTTATTTTCCTTTTAGGGTTTGGTGTCTTGCAGGTTCATTAGGCCATAGCATCCCCAACATATGAAATCATACGTTTAGAATCACAGTTAGTTTGCAGAAGCTATACTACCTATAGTCTTACACAATGAAAATTGTATATTAATACACTCGATTTCTGTACTATGCAGCGTTCAAAGCAGAATTTTCGAGCTTATCATCCTTTAAAACCAAGATACAATGCCATCAACCATGAAGAATCTTTTGTATTGTTTAAATTTCTTTATACGCCTATAAATGATTACATGTGCATTTGCAATCTTTCGAATTTTTCCTCGAGCTGATCACCCATGAGTTGATCCCATGATGTTTATCAGAAAGTAGTCAATGAGCTATTATAGTTCGACAATATAAAATCAAAACATAATCAATGGGGAAAACAGAGAATTTCACAAAGGCGACGTTTTTGGTTTGATTTCCTCGTAAATAATGCTTATTCAAGTTTTGAATATCTTTAATATCATGCCAAAATGTATGACCTCCTTTTGTTAGACGAGTCTCCATCCACAATAGTTAAAGTTTTTTATTCTTTTTAGCTTAAAAGTAAGGGCTCATTTTGCCACTAGCAGAGATAAGCAATGGAGATGCTGCATTGTCTTGTTAAGCACTATTACATGCTGCATTAGACAATGGAGAATAAATTGATGACTGATCATTTCACTTTAAAATATAATTATCTGTTCTTGAAAAGTCTCAATGGAATACATATATATATTCTTATATATATAGGTGTGTATATATCCACACTCATTAAGGCACTGCATTCATAGGTTTGTTTAATCAAATAGTACTGGTCTAAGTAGCCCACATCTTTGACTGAAGTTTAGCAAAAAGAGCCAAACTATGAATTAAAAAACTACTGTGAACTTCGGATTTCGAGTTCTATATTTTATGAAATTATGAATAATTGAAGGTTTTTTTGTTTAAAAATACAAAATAGGTTCAATAATCAGTTCTTGTTCATCTTCAGCAGAGTGCTGCACAACATTATGTTAAACATGTTTTTGATATACAACACCTTGTACCTTGTTTGTGAACACATCCAACTAACATCAGCTTATGTTTCTCAACTGTCGTTGTGATCTTGAACACTAACAACTAATTAATCCTTTTCTCACAGACATTCTTTCAAATACTTTGAATCTGTACTAGTTATGCTTTGAATTATAGGGAAGGAATGTGGAGAAAGCAACTTTAAAACCACTTCTTTCACAAAAAGAAACAACAACCCCACTTACAAAATGGCATCCAAAACCTCCATTTTGTTAGGTTGAGAGGTTTTAAGGAGAAATAAGAATGTTTTTAAAAGGCTAGGTACAGACATAGAATACCTAACAATGTTGCCCCCACAAGGTACAACTGATGAACAAAGCAGAGTTCCAATGCCCACTATCCTCCATATTAAAATCTGAGACAAGCAGTAGAAAAATAAGACCCCATCAATGGCTGCTAGACCCCATGACCATAAGAAGTTAAGGCCCTTCATTTAATATTAATGGTGGTAGTCCCCAACAGTGGTCTTGTTTGAACAAGAAAGAAATAGTCCATTCTACATTTAATACATGAACTCAAGATCCACAACATCTCACATGGCTTACATAGACTGACATAAATCAGAGATGTTTACTCATGTGAATTTCAAACATCAGAGTTCTAAGTGTTGAAAGTTGAATTTAGATTTGCAAGAGTCAAGGATCTGCAGTGAGATTAGGATCTTTGTCGATTAATTAGAATGCATCCCAAATGAGTTATCAAACTTTTTTTTTTTTGTTAAAAGGTATCTAGACTTGCGTCGACTATTCGTCAAACTCAGCGGCCGGCTATCTCGGCTTGAGTTAGATTAGAGCACGTTTTTAAAAAAACAATGACAGCTAGACCTTAGGGGGTGTGAAAAGGGATTGAACCCGATACTTCTAAGTTATCAAAAAACCGCTGAACCACCCGAAGGATTTGAGTTACCAAATGTTGCATTCCAAATAATATAGCAAAATCCTATGCAAAGTATATTTAGTGATAGTGAGTGGAACCCACTAATTCAACTACTTATACTAATTTGATATTCAAAATTTGATAAATAATTTAGTAAGCATTACAAAACTCGTTCATTGTTCAATGAGTAAACAAGGGCATGCTTGTGTTTAAAGTTGTTTTCTTTATAATCTCTAATTTCACACTATAGTGGATTCCCTATGCCCCTATGACAGTAGTCCATATTAGAGTGTTTATGCTCCACTTTTCTGTAAAGGGGAATAATCCCAATTACGTAATTTTTAAACTCGTGACTGCAACATAAATTTTGAAAACTTGCAATCACTCACGTTAACCTTGTACATCAATTAAATCCAAGTTGTAGCAATTACGTACAGCCATGCTGTTCGACATCAACCAGTACGGGTTCAAACCGTTGACGTAACCATTTTATCAAAGCTAATGCTGTTGATTTTTCTTGCTGTTTTATTGAAAAATCATTAAAGAAGCTGAGAGTTCTTTCCTGACATAAATGTCACTTTGAGTGTAGTAACCACAGAAACTCTCCCAAAAAGCTAGGCCAAGAAGTTGTCATTTGCGTTCAATGTTGCTATACATATATATTCGAAATTCCCACGTAAATTTTCAACGTGAGATTCAACACACGTCAATGCAAGTTGTTACATTGAGTTTACTTGAATTGCATGGGAGAGCTGTCAGAAGGGAAAGTTGTGCCTACTGCTATAATAAACAATGTATGACTTGCACTCAACATGACCTCAATACACAAACTATAATAGAGTAATAGATGGGTGAATGATTTTTAACATGATATATATTTGTCCACAGTCCACTTTTAGCCAGAAAATTAAGATCAAACTACCTACAACTATATCTGAATAGTGGAAAAAAAGGGGGAAGAATACTCAAAATGTAAAAAACCCTTATATAATCAAGTGAATGGCTCTGATCTTTTCCAAATCGAGCAATATTCGTATTAGCACGTTGTTATTCTACTTTTAGCTTCGTTAGTATGGAATTTTTTTCTCGATTCTTGTTGAATACTTGAAAGAATATTTCCAAGCATTTACATTGTTTAACAATTCAAACGTCAACAATGGCCGGCCTCGAAGGGAATGAAGATGAAAATGACTCTTTGCCCTTATAGTATGCATTATTATGAACTTTGACAACCATTGTTTATATACATACATATAAATAAACACGTAAGATTTACAATTGGTAATTGTAAGAATTTCGGGTATCCGTAACACTCATAAGTCTACATAACAACTCATGGTTTGGACGATTCTCCGTTATCAAAATCAATTTGAAAAATGCTAGCCTACAAAGGAAAAGGAATAAGGGAAAAGCCAAGGATGGCCACACAAGTACAAAAAAGGTCAAGTGGTTTGGAATGTAGCTAGAGACCGGAGGGAGTGCCATCCGCGGATAAGGTAGTAAGTAGTCTAATGGTGACAAAGGAATCTCGAACACATGCTTTGATTTTGGTTATTTTTTGAGTGTTATTAATTCTTAGGCATTGACGTAATCGTAAAGTTGTTCTATTGTGGTCAGGAGGTCACATGTTCAAGTTGCATAAACAGTCTTTCAATTTGTAGGGTAAAATTTCTAGACTCCACAATAACGAGAGTCTCATATACTGGGTACCCTTTTATTAATTCTTTAAGTATTGACATTAAGATAGCTATTCTCTCTCCCTAAGTTCATATCTCGACCCTGTCGAGGCAGAGCATGCCCGTCCAAGCTCTCCACCCTTAACATCCAACCACTTGGCACCCTCACCCAGCATCTAAGGATTGCTGCCGGCATCCATGGGTTGGTGACTTAAAATATATATATATATATATTGAGAGAGAGAGATTAATCATGGTGTTATTATTATAGCTATGACAGTACTGTTAATTAATGGTAGTTGAATTATAGTATGGTATAAAATGAGTCACCAAGTAGAGTCATAGAAATTTAAATTGGGTAGCATAAGTTAGTTGGGAAGCCTTGAGTAAAGATCTATTTTACCCTACCTCCAGGGTGGTGTGGGTACTGCTTAGACAGAGACTGCTGATTACTTCACCTCCTTCCTTCCTTCTTCCTCCTCCTCCTCCTCCTCCTCCTTCTTCTTCTTCTTCTTCATCATCATCTAGAGAGAGAGAAAGAGAGAGAGAGATGGGGAACTGCCAAGCTATAGATGCAGCAGCACTAGTGATACAACATCCGAATGGCAGACTAGACAGGATGTATTGGTCGGTGACTGCAAGTGAGGTGATGAAAATGAATCCTGGACATTATGTTTCTCTTATAATTCCCTTGTCTGTTGATGGTGACGAGAACTCGGATGGCAAGACAGTGCGGTTCACTCGTGTTAAACTTCTCCGGCCAAGTGATACTCTTGTTCTTGGTAGAGCTTATCGCCTTGTCACCTCTCAAGGTCAGTTTGTGTGTTTTGGCTCTACTACTATTACTACAACTACTGAAGGAATATAAAGAATTTTTGTTTCAGTTCTGACTTCTGAGTTCATTCAGATTATAGAATTCTGTTTCTTTTCTCTAATTACAGAGGTTATGAAGGTTTTGAGAGCCAAGAAATATGCAAAGATGAAGAAGAACCCACCCGAATCGGCTGAGAAGTTGCTAACAGATCCAGTCAACCAGAGTTCAAGTTGTGAGGTAGAACTAGGAAGGCCTGAGTTGGAGAAAACCAACATGGTAACTCTCTTCAGCCAATCAGTCATTACCCATATGAGAAAATGTTTAAAATTTGCCAAATCCTTTGGTGAACAAGCTGCAATTCAACTATGTTTCTGACTGATGATACTGTTTTTGAAGTTATTGTTATTGAAAAAAAAAAGTCTATCAAGCAGCGCAACCAAGACCTTTTATACCAAGGAAATCACGCTTCTACTCTATTCAACACAGCCGTTATCCCAACTATTTAGGGTCGGTTACATGAATCCTATTTTTTCGTTATCAGTATCACTGGCTAGTATCAAATGAGTACTTCCATTTTCCTCTAAATTCAGTCAATCCCTAACCTGCGATTCATAGAATCCAAGGGATTTGCTGGTATTTCCTTTAGTAGTGGCCTAAAAAAAATATACCAGTTCTAAAAATGCATACATGATTGAAGAAAGTTTATTCATTTTTGTCACTGAACACTTATCCTAGAATGACATTTGAAAAATTCAGGAGATGAGACACGAAAGACATCGACAGAGGCCATCAGGATCAACAAACTTAGCAGCAGGGTCAAAATCATGGCGCCCTTCGTTGAAGAGCATCTCTGAGGCTGGAAGCTAATGATCATGGTCGCGATTTGTTGATAATGAATCGTTCAATGCTGGAAACATAGATAATGTAAATCTATTGAAGTCTGGTTCCAAAAATTCCTATACCAGCGTCAACGACAAGTGTTTGAGCCAATGTGAGTAATAAACCTCTGTATAGATGAGAAAATTGCAATTGGGTTGACACTGTTTCACGACAAACATTCCATAATGGAATTAAAATTGCCTCCACATTTTCCATTTCCTTAGTTGATATAGCAGAAAAAGATGAACACAAAAAAGAAGATTACTTGTCTCATACAAATGGAAGATGAATTGGCAGTCACTTTGGTGGATCCAAATGTCCAAACTTCCCTGTCCTGATGCTCGATTAAACAGGATTCTTGTAATGAGATAAGGCTTGAGTTATTGATCAAGAAATAGAGATGCTGGACCAGCTAACGGTGCCCCAGGAGGTTTCTTCTCCTTGAGCACAACCAACATATCTCTTAACGGGTCCACCAATAATTCTTGAGGTCCTCCATAGGCTAAAAAATATCTAGTTTCACACGAAAAAAAAAAAAAAAAAAAAAAAAAAAAAACTAGCAAATTCAATTAAATTTCGAAGAATTAAAGTTAAAATTCAAATTTTCTGTTATCTTTTTGAACCATCAAACACAGAGAGGTCCATATCCAGGACCAGGACCAAAAAATATGCATAAAAAGTTAAAATACAGCTTGATGTAAGCCGTATGGGTAGAGGGATTGTTCTGTTGAAGGGTCAGATATTTGTTTGAGTCAATCATTGTACTGTTTCCATGTCAAGAATAAGCCAGCTCCCTAAGAGCAAATGCTCAATTATTTCAAATAAATTAATTAAAACAACTGATCTCTAAGCAGTTTGTGTTATTTGTGTGTGTGGTCTCTATCCTTCCTGATCTGACTTATTTCAACACATCTCGTGCGCCCATAGATATCCATAAAAGTTGTCCATGGTCATCGTTGAAAGGCCCCGATAAATGTGAGATTTAGAAAACTCAAAACGTGGCTAATAGATCAATTTCAATCGAATCACGCTGGTTGTTATTCTAGTTGATGGAAGATGAAACATTTTATATCACAACAATGGGTATTCATAATCTCCATCAAGTTTTTCCCTTTTTTTTTTTTTTCAGTTTATAGTGGGCTTACTAGTATGCACTAATACATAAAATTAAACGCAAAAGAAATACATCACCCAATTTGCGTGCTCAAGATCAGAATCGTTTCAACTTCGAAAACCCTTTACTTATTCAACTTGAAATACATGACCATCAAAATATTTACAATGTGTTTTAGTGGTGGATTAAATGTAACTGGCAGGACTCTAGGTGACTTTACAGCCCCCGGGTTGACACGTGGAATGATGGAGCCGTTGGGATATCCAAAGGGTGTCGAGGAGGTAAGCCGAGGTATGGTGATACGGAGCAGTCGAGTACGATAGTTGACATCGTATTTAATGTGATGTGACCCCTTATTTATGGCGAAATGAGTGATAGTGACAAGACAAATAAATGCGCGTCTGCCAGCACTTGTCCTCTGGGAGTCTAAGCCTACTGTCATGATGGCTAAACTTTAATGGTTGATGCGCCGAGATGACGCGATCTACTCTCTCGAGGAACTGTTCCCCTCGAGTATTCAATGTTCAGGTGATGTCGGATGCCGATCTGGGGATTTGGGTACTCGGGGACTGGCATAAATGCTCGGCATTTGGCCGAGCATTTACCCCATTTTCCTAGTATTCAATAGGAGGAGACGTGAGTAGAAAACACTCATTGCACGAGGAATTGTGTGTTAGATGCAAGATGTCTAGCTGGGGCTGGAGATCTTTGGCAATCATTGCTAATTCAGGTATAAATACTCCTCAGAAAAATAGACAAATGTACGCAAACTTGAATGAGAAAAATAGTTCATTGAGTAAAATCCTTCGACCTTATACTAACTTAAGCTTCGGAGGGGATTAGCCGGGCGCTCGCCTAACCCCCTTTTTTCTGACCCTGTTTTCAGGTTCGCTAGCTTGGAGATCGCTGTCTCATACTATTGCAGAAATTATCCCGTGCAATTTGGCACCGTCTGTGGGAACGAAGGCATTTTTTCTGGTAGCGATCGACTGATGGTGAACACTCGATCTCAGGGTGAGGGAGCAGGTATACGGGCCAGGAACACAAAGCCCGTCCGACTTCCAATGGTTCTGGAGCCGAGTTCATTGAGCCAATCATATAGGGTGGGGCATTCTTCGCAAAGAACGCTCTCTATGGATCAGGGCCTTGGGAGGCATGACCTCATGGCCCATGACATCGTTGAGATGGTGAAAAAGCGGATGGACAAACACATTAAACAGCTTGAAAGGGAAAACGCAAAAGTCCAGCAACGTCTTGATGACTTTGAGCAGTCAGCGAGTGCGGGTGAGCATAGTCGCGAGTTTGGGGATCAGGTGCCTAGGCAGAACCTATCTAGACCCCCCCTGACATTGGTCCTCCAGGAAAGATTGGATTAGGCACTCGCCCGAGGGACGTAACCGCCAAGGAGGGTTCTCAGCCTTCAAGGGGAAGTCGGAATCGGATCAGAAGGCAAACCTGTCTAGGTGGGACCTGTGCCGAGGGATACCCGAAGGCGTCGAAGTCGCCAAATCACAACCGGAGTCCATACCCCGAAGGCCTCGAGGAGAAAGATCAAAAAAGGATCCCAGTGTCCCCTTCATTGCTCAGCGCAACCATGAGCCCAAGGTCTACTCCGACGAAGTTATGTCACCGTTCGTCCGGGCTATCAAGGAGGCCGAGATGCCGAAGAATTTTACCGTCCCACGGTTCAAAGTCTATGATGAGAAAACTGATCCCGAGATCCACTTTCAGCAATACAGACAATTGATGTCAATCTATGATACTGACCAAAGGGTGTTGTGCCGAATTTTTTCCATGAGCCTAAGGGACACAGGCGCGAGGTGGTATGAGAACCTTGCTCCTGAGAGCGTTAAGTCTTGAAAATAATTGACGAAACTCTTCATAGCTCGATTCATCAACAGTAGTAAGAAGCCGAAGGACATCAACACTCTGTTGACGCTTAGGCAGAAAGGGGGAGAGACACTCTGACAATATGCCGTCTGGTATTGGGATGAAGTGAACGAGGTGGAAGCATGTTCGGAGGCATTGGCCACGGCGTCATTTAGGCTGGGGCTGTCCCGGGACACTGATTTGTACAAATTGCTGACCAAAAAGGCTCCGACGGATATGAAAGACTTGATGGCTCGAATTAACAAATATGTCCGGGTGGAAGAAGAATTTGTCGCGCCCGAGAGCAAGGTCACAGTGCCGAGGAAAAAAAGGGAGAGGGAGCAGCCGACCCGAAGGGGAGGGCCTATTCCACCCCCAACTAGCCTATCCTTCCAGGGAGTGAACACAGTTTTCAACGAGCCCATTCACAGGATACTTTCCAAAATAAAAAACAAACCCTACTTCAAGTGGCCCCCGAGGATGTTTGGAGACCCGTCGACAAGAAATACGGCTTTTCGATGTTCGTATTATAAAGATATCGGCCATTTGATGGAGGATTGCAAGGCTTATAAATCCTTCCTCGAACAATTGGTGCGAGACGAACGCCTAGGGAAATTCATCGACAAGGGTCGTCCTAGCGGGTCGGCGAGGGAGCGAGCTGAGGTGCCAACTGAGGTAACACCCGTGATTAATGTTATTCATGCCTACACAGTGGAGAGGCCTACATACAACTCCCTCCGTGCCGAGTTGCAAAGGGTCTCTCAAGCAGTCAGGGTGGATGAAAGGGGTAATAAGCGACCGCCCAAGAAGCCGCGGAGCGGTGCCAAGATTATCCAGTTTTTCGATGCTAATCTCGGCAAGGTAGTCCTCCCCCACGAGGATGCATTGGTGATCACTTTGCGGGTCGAAAAGTTCGACGTTAAGAGGATCTTGATGAACTCGGGCAGTTCTTCCAACGTAATGTACGATTACCTCTTTTGCAAGATGGAACTCTCTCAGGGGGATTTGGAACCTGTAAAACCCCCCTCCTCATCGGCTTCAATGGTTCCAACGCCCTACCCCTTAAAAAAATCACCCTCATGGTACGGACGGGGGTGGTGACCACACCAGTGAAATTTGTGGTGGTGGATTCCGACTCCCCTTACAACGCTATTATGGGGAGATCGTGGTTACATGGAATAAAAACGGTCCACTCATCCTATCACCAGAAGATAAAGTTTCCAACACCGCAGGACATAATGGAAATTCGGGGTGACTAGGCGTCGGTGAAAAATTGTTTCTATGCCGCGATGAAAATGGGAGTCAGCGGTTGCAGTCAAGAGCGTGATCCCGATGCGGTGGTTGCCAAATAGCAATCACAGAGCGGTCATCCGGGAGTGGACGAGCCCATTACAGAACCGGCCAACCGGTCTACTAAGGCCTTGGTGAAGATTCTCATGAGCCCAGATAACGGTGAGAAGTACTTTTTGGTAGGAGAGTCACTCAGCAATGCAGAGAGAAATAATATGGCCCTATTTTTACGCCACAACGTCGATGTCTTTGCGTGGACCTAGGCCGAGATGACAGGGACAAATGCCGAGGTGATGACTCATCGGCTCCATGTGAATCCCTCATTCAAAGTTAGGCAGAAGGCCCGGAGAACAGTGCCTCATCACGCGAAGGCTATGGATAAAGAGATGGATAGGTTGTTGGGGGCAGGTTCCATCAAGGAGGTACAGTTCCCCTAGTGGCTATCCAATACCGTGTGCGCCAAGAAGAAAGAAGGGAAATGACGAGTTTGCATGGACTTCATGGACCTGAACAAGGCTTACCCCAAGGATGAGTACCCCTTACCCAAGGTTGATCAGTTGGTAGACCCCACAGTCGGCCACAGGCGCATCACCTTTATGGATGCTCGGGCTGGATATCACCAGATTCATCTGCATGAATCAGATCAGGAAAAAATGGCATTCATTACGCCCCGGGGTATCTACTGTTACACAGTGATGTCTTTTGAGTTGAAGAATGCTAGGGCAACTTACCAACGTGTGATGAACAAAATTTTCAAAGACTAGCTCGGCGAAACGATGGAGGTTTACATTGATGACATGTTGGTCAAAAGCAAAGAAGGGACTGACCATCTCTATGATCTCGAGACGACATTTGTCATCCTCTGGAAGTATGGCCTAAAACTAAACCCCTCGAAATGCGCCTTTGGAGTGAGCTCAGGAAAGTTTTTGGGGTATTTGGTTACTCATCAGGGAATCCAAGCGAACCCTGAGCAAATACAAGCAATCTAGA